AAAAGGTTAGAAGCAAAGGTTGGCATATAAAAGGCTTTGGACATTTTTTCAAAAAGTTTTAAATCGCCTACTCCCTCTATAGGTATTTTATCTCCATTAGCTATCATTACATTACCTAAGGCTGGTTTGATATTTGAAATTAAACTTGGATCACTAATCATGTGATGTGAAGCACCAGAGTCTATAACAAGTGATCTAAAAGGTTTTAATCCATTCATAGCAATACCAGCAATGTATGAAGCATTTAGTGAGATACCAAGAGTTTTAGAGATACCAGAATGGTCTTTTAAGGCTTTGATGAGAGCCTCTAAGTCAGACCTCTTGATGCTCTCATCTTGGTGGGTTCTAGCCGTGGAGTAAGAAGATGAACTCGCCATTGCCCTTCCCATACCAGTGTTGGAGCCCATTGAGGAGTATCCAGGAGTTCCTGGTTCCATGTCATCCGTTGAGAGGTGAGCTCTAGCATCTTGATACTGGCTCCTTTGTTCCCTGAACTTGTTTGGCTTCAAATGGGGGTGTAGTATCCAGCATTTGTCCTTCATGTGACCCTTCTTCTTGCAGTGATCACACACCACAACCTTCTTTTCATCTTGCTTGTACACGCCCTTATTTGCCACTGCTGCCTCCACTTGATTGACCACTACAANTGCAGTGATCACACACCACAACCTTCTTTTCATCTTGCTTGTACACGCCCTTATTTGCCACTGCTGCCTCCACTTGATTGACCACTACAAGTTCTCCTTTGCTTCCAAATAGTCCCAAGGACCCTTCTTCCTTCTGTATTTGAGCACAGACCTCATCCAGAGTTGGTAACTTATCAGCCCTCAATATGTGTTTGACAAGGTCATTATATGTTGGGTTGAGAGTAAGCAGCAACCCAAAGACCTTATACTCTTCACGTCTAGCATTCAGGGTAGATGGGTCTACGGTAGGAGGTCTGAGCATCTCCAGCTCTGCCCACAGAGATCTGAACTTGCCAAAGTGAGCTTGAAACTCCATATCAGCCTGGCTGAGAGCATTAATAGCCCTTTTAACTTCAAAAACTCGAGTTAGATTGGAGATGTTTCCATAAACCTTACTAAGAGTTTCCCATAATTCTTTGGAGCTCTCACAATAAGAATAAGCTTCCAAGATAGATGGATCCAGAGAGTTTTGTATGACTGAGAGCACTAAGAGATCCTCCTGACCCCATTTATCTTCATCAGTCACTACCACCACTTTTCCATCCTCTCCTTGTGTTGTTGACTTTGGTACTTCTCCAGAAGCTACATGACTCCAAAGTCCTCTTCCACCAAGGGCAGTTTTCACCAATCTGGACCATAAGAGATACTTAATCCCTTTTAGAGTCACAGGGATGGTAATAGGCTTCATTTTCTCCATCTTTCACTGCTATTGACCAGTGGATAATAGAGTGAATCTTGAAAGGAAATGAAGTAAGAACAGAGATTTTGCTTTTGCGGAAGTACAGAGTAGGTTCAGAAGCCTAGTGGCTCTGATACCATGTTCAAATGTGAGTATTTAGAGACTGGTTTGTTTGAGAAGAATGAAGAACAACAAGAACAGAGGAGAGAAGGTAGTATTTTCGTGAGAGAGAAGAGAGGAGAGAGAGAGTTACACTAGAGAATAGAATTGTGAGGAAAACTATTTCCTTAACTTCTTTAAGGTTGCTTACAACATGTATTTAAAGCCAAATCAGGCTTACAAGGACAAGAGAAAATAAACATAACCAAATGGGGTGAAGTCACATGGTTTGGATTAGAGAAAGCGACCTGTCCAAACGGATCTCTATGGCTGAAGGAGACATGTGAGCTTTAATATATAAAACTCAACCCACTTGCTCCTTCTTTGTCCAGAACCCCCAACGGTCTTCTCCTCTTTAAACTGGTTCTCCAAGTTACTCTAGGTTCCCTTAGGTTACTTGTCACACAAAGCTGTACGGAACTTGTACCACACGCCTTCTCAAACCAATTGAAACCAATTGTTATCTTCTCAAACCAATTGTAACCTTAACCATTCGAATAATTATTCTTCTCTAGTCCTTTTTATTGCTTTATGTTCATAATATCCTACAACTTCAGTACTCTTGTTGCACGCCATCCATACTCCTTGACCAGGAGCCTCTCTCAAGTATCTCAAGATCCTCTGGAGCTCTCTTTCCAGAAGAACCCAGAAACCTAGTTCAATCATCATAACCAAGTATACATGGAACTAGGGGTGGGCAATCGGGGTCCCAACCGGGTTTCAGTTCGGGTTCATTCGAGTTTCGGGTTCTCGGGTTCAAGAATTTCAACACCATGCGGGTTATCTTGGGATCGGTTCGGGTTTAGTAACATGTCCAAGATCCGGTTGAACCTCAAATAGTTTTAGTTTCGGATACTAATCGGGTTATCGGTTCTAAAAATATTAATTTGTACTTGATTAAACTCAATATATATTCAATCGTTTTAATAGATTTTTGTATTTAGCTTCTTCAAACTATATTGTTATCCTTCAAAATAATATTGTGAAACTTGTCTATCAACCATATAAAATTTGTTATTGTATATGTGATACCGCTAAACATATTATAATTAATGACAAACTAAAGACTTTTATGAACGAAAATCATACATAATTAAAGAAAAAAAATAAAGTTAACAACTAAGAATTCTATAAAAATACGAAATACTATTTAAACCTAAACAACAACAACATTGTTTAAACTTCAAAACAAATTTATTCGTAACTAAAGTTCAAATGTAATGTCAAACATTAACATTAATATCAACCAAATAAAACTATATATTAGACTAAATATTTGAGTTAATTATTCATATAACAACTAATTATTGTAGGTACTTAATAATATCTTAATGTGTTTTGAAACCTATTAAAATTCGAGATTGGATATGGTATAAGTTTTTTTCTGAAATTTTAAAGTTTCAGGTTCTTTCGGATATTCATTTAAGTTCGGGTTCGGTTCGGGTAAAACTCATAACCTGAAATACCGTAAAACAAGATCCATTAGGTACTTATGCCGGATTCGGATCGGTTGATTCCTTTTGATCGGGTCGGGTTCGGTTTAGATTTCCGGGTTCGGTTTTTTTCTGCCCAGTTCTACATGGAACAAGATTTACTTATAATATCTACATATTGTCATGATTTTAAAATATGAAATGAAATTTTCACCGTTGACAATTTCATGAACTCAGTTAGGACTCTTTGGTAACAGTTTCCACACTTATGTCAGTTTCACATAGAATTGAACATTACATCTAATCTCAGGATAGCTCAATGGTTTCACACTCTCATGTCCCAGTGAAACTCTCACAGTTCCACACCGCCAATTTTATATTCTCACACCGCCAATTTTAAACAAGACAGTTCCCATAATTTATTCAGCCTCCTCCCATCGAGCCGTAACACCGAAAAACTATGACGAGAAAGGAACAAACTATTGGATTGGAAGACAGAAGGAGAACCAAGACATCGATTTAAACATCATCGAAGCGGAGTTATCGTGGAACTGATAGAGCAGAGCTCCATTTTATGGCTCTTTCTTGCTCACTTTAGCTTGAGGAAGAACTGAAGCGTCATTTTTTTAAGGAGATAATAACTTATCATTTTCTTTTTCTATTTTATTAAATCATTTCCTAAATCAAATTTGGCTAATTTTTTGTGATCAATATATTTCTTAAAATTATTTAGTTAAATTTTAAGAAAATTCAAATTTAAAAGCATCTTTAATAATATAATATAACATTTCTTAAGTATCATATAAACTTTACATATTTAGTTTATAAGGTTTGAAATATAAGTATTTTAAAATATATGTTTAACCTTTACTATTAATTATTTAAAAAAAATCTATTTATGTTAAGATTTAACTATTTTTTAAATTATTTGTAGATTAAGATGGATTGTTTAAAATCGAATATTCATTTTAATAGATCAAAATGCTGCCTAATATCTATATATATATATATATATATTTCAAATATTTATAATTATTCACTCAGTTACTATTAACTATTTTCAACAATAAAATTTATGTATATAAAATTTTAATATCATAAAATTACTTGTAAAATAATATTTAAAGTGTATAATGGAATATTTCTTAATTGATGTATCTAAATCTCGACATATGACTCATATATAATCAATATATTATAAATATTATATAGTTGGGAAACAATTTCATGTTAAAAAACATTACTTAAACATATCAATGGTTTAATGTTTTATTAAAAATTTAATATAATACATGGGTCGCAATATTTGTTTTCAGCATGTAAACTATTTCACTATGATATTTATAAAAACTTTAAAATATGATAAATATTTAAAATATTAACTACTAAATTTAAATAATATTTTTATATATAAAATTGAAAATATATACGACAAGGACGTGCCGGACAAGCTCTAATATACCTTTAAAAGATGATAAAACGTTGCGTTTTTTATCCTTCCAAAAGATGCATCGAAAACGCTGCGTTTTACAGACAGAGTAAAATAAGAAGCAGCAGAAGCAGATACATTAATTAAAGTAACTAATAAGTTTTGTCGGGGCAGTGACAGTGAGAGAGAGAGAAAGAGAATTTGGTCGGGAAGGAGATGGAAGGCGTAGGGTCGAGATTGAGCCGAACGTCATCTAGATACAGTGGTCCAGCGGCGACGGCGGTTTTCAACGGCCGTGTAAGGAAGTGGAAGAAGAAGTGGGTACGTGTCTCCACGTCACCAGTCGGCGTTTTCCGAGCATCTAAATCCAACGGTCGTAACAACAACAGCAGCAATTCTCCACACCATCTGCTTCTCCATAAGTGGACTCCACTTTCCTCCGAAGCTAACGGCTCCGGTGGTGAGACGGAGGAGGCGCCTAAACGAAGATTCAGATACGCTCCTGTTAGTTTTGTTTTCCTTCTTGGGAAGTCAACTTAGGTTTTGCTTTTTTTGGTAGGGAATTGAGATTAGTGTTGAATGATTCCTTCTTTGCAGATTGCGATGCTTGAGCATAGAGAGAAAGTGGGTGGTAAGGATACTGAAGTTGATGCGGAAGAGACTGACGAATTCGACAATGATGATGATTCTCCATTGCCTAGAGCCGTTGAGCTGGACATGAACTTAACTGACACTGACCAAACTAAGGTAAAGCTTCTAACTGGTTTTGTAACATTTTGATCAAGTAAGTGTCTGAGTTTTGTTCATCCTTGTAACTAGGAGGCAAAAACTCGTCACTTGAAACTGGGACTGTGTCTGAATTCTGAAGGGACTGAAGAATGAAGAGAAGCATGTTAAATTGGGATTACGCAACAATAAACGTCTGGGATTTCGTGTTGTTGTAGGCGTTTAGCTATCATGTCTCAGTTTAACTTGTTGTAATCCTTCGGAATCTGTATGTCGTAGTAGTGTATCTCTAGTTAGAGGAAGCTACTATATATGTATGTTATATGTATGATCAAAAGAGCCTGGCTCCATCTCCATATTGTATATAACTTCATTAAAAATTGTGGAAAAGAAGTTACAGAACCAGGGCTTCCCAGGTAGTGCAGCCAACGTCAAGCTACTTTATGAGATCTTGTTCATCCAATGAATATGTGAGTGTGAGAGAGAGCTATCAAGTATAAAAGACAACAACATAAAGGTGTAAAAGTTCGAAACAACCAAAGGTCAACTCTTCGCCGTTTGAGTTTTCTCAAGCTTCGGCCTCTTTCTCTTGGTTCACCACAGCGCAAGTAACACCAACCTCAGCTGGTCTTATAACTCGATCAAACAAGGAGTATCCAGACTGTAGCAAACCGTTACCAAAAAAGGTTACAAACTATGCAAGAATATATCCATGATATTTGGTGGATTTACATAAGAGCATATACATTTATCAGAGTAAATCCTTTTTATAATTTAGTAGTACGTACCTTCAGGACATGAGCAATTGTGCCTTCTGGCTTTGAAGAATCAGGGACTTGGAACACTGCGTTATGTCTGTTTGGGTCAAACGGTTCATTTAATGGATCTTCTTTCACCAAACCAGATTTCTTAAATACCTGCAAGTTTTTTTACAAATTCTCAGAACTAGTCTCATCTTTGTTTAACCTCAATGAAAGAACATTTATAACAGAATGTTTTTATACCTCAGCTAGTTGTTTCTCAGTCATATCCACTCCTTCTAAAAGGGTTTTCAAGAGTGGAGTAGCACCAGCCGAATCTTTCGAAATGTCAATCTTGGAAAAGCTCTCTTTGACAACCGAAGAAGCTCTCCCAAGATTATCCGCCACATCCAGGAGGCTCGTTGCAAATTTCTGCAGCAGAAGAGAATTTCAACAAATCCATTCAGTACTACCAGGGTTAGATATAGAGTAAGACAAGTAAGGATTAGCGAGAAAGTAAACCTGTATGGCGAACTTTTTATCGTTCTCAGCATTACGTTTAGCCCTGGCCATTAGATTCTCCATCTCAGCATAAGTTCGAAGAACTTTATCTTGCATTTCCTTCACCTCTTCCTTCTGAACATTGACAAGATCTTCCTTCTCTACCACAAGCTTCACCAAATCCTCCCTTGACAAACCCTCAAAATCATCTAGAAACCAGATAACACAAAGTGGTTTAGTAACTCTATCAACATCCTTTGTGGAGAATTAGTCATTCTATACATCAGCTTCTTTTTGACTCACCTGTTGTAGCTTTCATGGCCTCTTCCACCTCCTCAGAAGCTTGGTTGGTCACATTTTCCTTGGATTCAGCTGAGGAAGAGGAGAAAAAGCCGAACCTTTGAAAGACATTGACATCTCGAGATGATTGGTTTAGTAGCGACACTGGAGCTGCAACAAGCTGCCAATATTTAAAGGATCCAAATTGAGTAAACTTTCTAATAAGGTTGAAAATTCACAAACAAACCAATATTGCATCCAAATAAGCTCAAGTAAGACACATAAAAGAGAGAGAAATCAAAGCATATACGTTCAGACATAACAGCAACTCTGTCAAATTTGGAAACAAAGGAGCTGAGATTCGTTTGAACAGTGATTGCGTTAAGAAACTTCCTAATTAGGTTGACGATCTACAACAATTGCGAGAAGCGAATTTGCATCAAGAAGAGCCCCAAAAATAGAGTAATCAAAGGATATATTTCTGGTTCAGACAGCTAACACAACCAAAACCGTGAACTATATGTAATAAAGAAGTCAACTTTCGGAACGAAAGAGTTGAGATTCGTTTTGAACAAAACCTTAAACCCTAGCAAAACCACCCCACCACGAGGATATTAACTAAAATTACCAAAATGGGATTAAAACTAACCTTATTGGGAGTTCCGTGTACGAGGGAGTGGAATTGGCTGGAAAGAATCGGAAGAATCTGATTCCTTTGAGGAGAAGAAGAGAAGGAGGAGAGAGACGAGCGTAAGCTCGAAGTGCGAGAAACTCTTGATAAAACCCTAGTCAACAACATCACGGAGGAGGAAGAAGCGCAAAATGAATTTCAGAATCGAACCAGGTTTATAATGTATTTATGAATAAATCGTCGCGAAAGGAGAGATTAATAATGGGGAAAAACGTTCTTGGGGAAGAAGTAATTTGGGTCTGATGTTTATTTGAATTTACGAAACTACCCCTACCGATTGTTTGGACTTTGGAAAAAGCAAAATTCTCTTTTGGTTCATTACGTATTGTGGACCTCTCCCACGAATTAAAATGTGAATGACAAAAATCACATAAAAAATCTTGAAAATGGCACTTAACACTTTACATTTTAAAGTTTTTTAATAACATCTTAAATCTTCAAAAAGAGATACATATCACAAAAAACTTTAAACTTGAAAAACTGATCTATTGAACAGGTAAAAACAATGAGGTGTCATTTATTTTTTTAAATAACTATTTATTTAAAAAGTAAATCAAAAATTAAATAAAAATTATAAAGAAATATATAAAATTGAATTACATAAAATAAAATAGAGAAAAGAAAATTCACAAAAAAATAGCAATTCAATTTTTTAAAAAAATAAAGAGATAATATTTTTTCAAGAAAACCGTTTGAAACAATCATCATCAATAGTGATATGTCTGAATTTTTTACTGTTAACGATGATATTTCAGTTTTTTTCTTTAAATCAATCTTGTAACTTTTAGTAATTTCCAATAAAAATTGACATCTCATGTTTGAAAATAAAAGTTTCAAACATATCAATGTTGACGTTGATAGTTTCAAATAGTTAAAATCTTAATCTTCTAATTTTCTACTATTTTTAACTTTTGAATTTTTAATTTGTGTGAATTTTCTTTAATTTTTGTTTAATTTTCTGAATTTGATTTAAGTTTTTATATTTCAATTTAATCTTTCAAAATTTTCTTTATGTCTTTCTTTAGTTCTTTGAAAAATTAATTTAGTTTTAATTTTTTATTATTTATTAAATTGCTGATTTATTTTTTGGAAAAATCTAATCAATTAACATTTTTTACCTGTTAAGCTGGTCAGTTTTACAAATTCAAAGCTTTTTGTGATACAAATTTCATTTTGAAGGTTTAAAGTTTTAATGAAAAAATTTTAAGATTTAAGATGACAATAAATGTCACTTTCAAAGTCTTTTTTATGTGATTTTCCTTTTTAAAAAGAAACACTGGTTAGTTCGGCCAGTTACAAACTCCAAACCGGAACCATTAATGTGTATTTTGATGGTTTAACTAACTGGGTTTTTGGGCTATCAGACTTTACTACCTAAAATCTAGGCCTGCGATTTTGGTATTCCGAAAGCAAACCGAACAGAATTTGCGGTTTTCGGTTAACCAGAATTTTTAAAACTAATTCCGAAAAAACAAAAATTGAATTTGGTTTGGATCGGTTCGGAAATCGATTTTATTCGGTTTTCAATTTATTTCTGAAAATAACCGAATTTCTATAGTATTTACCAAATAACCGATTTTTTTGGTGAAAATCAATTATTTTCGGTTTGGTGCTTACTATTTTTTTTTTTACTTTTGACCTGAAATATCCATATTTATCAGCAAAACAAACATATTCAGCAAAAACCAATATATATATATTGTTCATCCTTTCCACTGAAAAGATCCAGCATTCTAAAATCTATGAATCTATGACTTAGATCTCATAATGTCCAACAAAGCACATAGAGTGACCAAACAAATCAATGGGAAATCCCGCATAAAGAGTCATAAAAAAAATAGAAAATTAAAGGCCACCACGGTTGAACTCCAACCTGCAACTTATTGAAGTCTGAGAATCAGTAAAAATAAGAACAACAATACATAAAAGACACACAAAGAAGTTGAGACAGAAGAACTTTACCTCTAATTTTATTGATGAGATCCTCCTGGAATTTAAATCTATCTTTGTTTGACCAACTGATAATAAGATGAAAAACAAGTTAGAGAGAGACAGAGAGTATTGACAAACAAACACAAGACACTCATAATCGACTAAACCTTCGACATGCCCACCCTAAACGTCTAACCCCAAATCGATTTCGACCAAAACCCTAAATCTCAAATCCATCCAAACTCATCATTTAATCCGAATCAAACACTAAGAGACACTTTCACACTGGTAATCGACCCATCATTCAATCCAAATCATATACCCCAACTGATTTCAACAGAAATCCTAACTGTCAAATCAATCGCTAACTCAAAAACTACACAAAACTATAGAAGAGAGTGAAGAACCTACCTTGTGGTCGGGAAGATGNCAATCGCTAACTCAAAAACTACACAAAACTATAGAAGAGAGTGAAGAACCTACCTTGTGGTCGGGAAGATGTGAGAATCAGACGAAGAGCACAAGGTTGCTAGGGTTCAGAATCTAACAAAGCGGGGGCTCGAGTTTGAGGAATAAAAAATGAAGTTGATTAGGTTTGTTTAGGTTAATACGGCCTATATATATATGTAGGTTAAATATCGGTTAACCGATCGGATATCATGAACCAAATCAAACTGAGGCACTAACCGAACATTATTTATAACATCTTCCATTCGGTTTGCTCTTGATAATCGAACAATAACCGAATTTCATAATGTTTGGTTTGATTCATACTGTTCGGTTCTGGTCAGAATCCCATGCCTACTAACATCCATATACCATGACCGAGGCAAAATCTATAGCAACATAAAGTGATCCGGAATTAATCGAGGATTGAAGAAAACAATATGATTGTTGATTCTCAAGATTTTATAAAGGGATCTGCAATGTTCAATACATATGCTTATCTTGTTCAGGCTCTCCACTCTACGTTTGTTGTATTCTCTGAGTCCAACTTCCTTCTTATGTGTATATATCATTTCTATGCCAAAGAGATTTGAGTATAAGTAATGATGATTTCTTATTAGTGCTCACAAATATAGAGTAAGCTTTCTCTTTTTGATAGTTTTTCCTAGAAATTGTAACCTTAACAGAAGGTAATGAACACCCTCGTGCTTGTTTTCTCAAAATGAGTTTCAATTAAGAGTGTCATATTTTCTAGTTTGTTCATTGTTCATCACATTTCACTAGTTCAATTTTCTTACAAAAAATACTGAAGTAGAGAGCTGACTTTTCATTATCGTTGGTTCTCATAACTCATAACTTTTGGCTATTCAATTTCATAAGAGTATGATTGAATAGTGGTTGCAAAGTACATTATCGGCAGAGTCGGTCCTAAGTTATTAGGCTGAAAGCAAACAATAAAAATGTGGCCATTTTATCAAAAACAAAATAACCAAAAATCATGTACTAGGTGGACTTTGAACCCAAATTAGTTGAATACGGGCTAACTTCTGGAGCTTTAACTACTATAATAACGTGGCTTTTAATAAAAAAAAATGGCTGAAATATGCTTATAAATTATGCAGCCGGAAGCATGGGTTTCAATGGCTCGGCCCAAGGGCTGCCTCTGATTATCGGTGATGTTCATAAATTAGTATCAAGAGTCCAACTCTACAAGAATTTAAAGGCAATCTCGAATCTTGGCCTAGACGAGGGAGAGTCGACTCAGACAAAGGGTAAGAACATTCCGTGTTATATATTTAAGTGAATGGGTGCAAAGAACTATTGCAGTTGTTTTTGTCACAATAAAGTTAAAACATTGCAACTAGGGGTGGGCACTTTATCCGATACCCGAACTTGTACCCGAACCCGACCCGAAATATCCGAAACGAAATCTGAATTAGCAAAATACCCGAACGGGTATTGAGTTAGGAGAGTTTGGATATCCAAACCCGAACGGGTAATACCCGAACCCGAACGGGTATCCGAAGATAACCGAACATATGTATATATACCTATTTATTCCTAGTTTATTTTGTCTCATTTTATTAAAACTATTTATATTAATGTTATATATTGTTTAATATCAGATAATATACATATAACTGTAAAAAAATTGATTTGTTACTCATTTAAAATGCATGTTAAGCTTCTTATTTCATACTTTAAACAAAATTTGCATCCAAAATTTGAAAATAATAACCAAAATAATGATTTTTATTTTCAATAATTTATTTTCAAACTTATTAATCGTCTAACTTATTAAACATTTTTAAAACAGTTAAGTTAATAGTTAAATTTTAAATACATGAAACTTAAGTAATAAAAAATTTAAAATTTTTCTTTCAAAATCTAAATATCCGAACCCGACCCGAAATAACCGAACCCGAACTAAAAATATCCGAACCCGACCCGATATGTAAAAATATCCGAACGGGTTCTAAACCCCAATACTGAAATACCCGAAAACCCGAAATACCCTACCCGAACCTGAACGGGTACCCGAATTCCCACCCCTAATTGCAACTATTAATGATTGCAATTGGTAATAAATATATTGATGATTGTAACATTTGATGATAACTATATTAATAATTACAATTTTTGGTGATTAATCATATTAGTGATTATAACATTTGATGATTAACCATTGTGACTCTTCACTAACAATTGCAATCATTATCCAAGTATATAATCCACAATTTTTTGGATTATAACCCAGATAACCAATGTTTAGTCCTTGTAATAACTTTTAAATTGAATTAGATGCAACTTCAAAGATGATTCATGCAATGACAAAATATATTCATACAACGTAGGAAGTAACTTTAAAACTCTAATCTTAATATATGAAAGATTTTATAGTATCCTAATAATAACATAAATAAAACAACTTCGTGCATACAAACAAGTCCAATGAATGTGAGTGATTTCGATGTTGCATCAAGACATTTGATGAAGCCAATAGGCATGAATGTCTTGGATTTTGCTTCAAAGCGTCGATGAAACTCAACAAGCATTCGATGATCACAAGTTGTTGGATGCTGCATCAACTTTTTGATCTTTGTTTCAATTTTCTGGATGTTACATCAAGTGCGTTCCATCAAAAGAAGTCATTGACCATAAACTTCGAACATGAGATTAAATGCAAATTACACTGACCCGAATCCAATTTAGATATGAAAAATTTGTGGAATGTTTTAAAACTCTATGAATTTGTTTATTTTAAACAGAAAATAAGCTAAAAGTTTATGCCAAACATGTTCATGCCCAAACTAATTTTATGTAATGACTGTAAATTATATGTATTCTTATATAGAACTTTTGGTTTATAGTCAAAAAATTGTCAAAGCCAGAATTAAAAATAAATAAAAATAATAACTTGAAAATTAAATTTGTTTTATTAAGTCATACAATAAATACTTTTGTCCAATTCTTTAGATAACAAAGATTTTCATAGTCCAAAAAATTGTGCAGTGAAATCAAAATTTTGTTTTATTTGAAATCAGTTTCTTTTAAATGACTTCATTTTCAGTTGATTAACATGTAAATATTTTTTAAATCTTCTAAAGATTTGCTCTTTGATTATAGTATTTATTCCAACTCTCATATACTTAGAATATGGTGGCTTCTCTTAATTATGGAGATCTATGTTTAAGGATGCATCGGATGGCTTTCTTTATATGCATCCAAAGATGACTTTCTTTTTCGAAAAAATTCTTTGTACAGCCTTTTTAATTTATTTTTACAAAATAGTCTCTTAAAAAAGACTAAAATAAATTTTATTGAATGATAAGTATATTCTTATCCCTGTAAGATTAACTAACATAGACTTGGATGGGTTTTGAAAGTTTAAATTTTTGGAAAATAAATATTAAAAGTTAAAAATTAAAATAAAAACTTTAAAACTAGTTTAAAAAGCATTTTCGAATTTCAAGAAGAAAGTTTGAAAAAAAAAAGAAATTTCAAAATAAAAATTATAAAAAGTTTGAATTTGAAAACATAGAATTCTAAATTATTAAAAATTATTTTTATTTGTATTTATATATATGTATATATATATATATATATACAAGAAGTGTCTAATCTGTCTGTTTAATAAAACATCTTTTAATCATTTTCCTTTTTAAAAATTATTTTTGTAACAAATCATTAAAAAAAGTTATTTGAGATAATTGTCCGTATTTTCTTCTTTTGTGTTACCTTTTTGGTGGTGGTAACTTTATTTTCCCTAGTCTCTTATCTTTGTTTTGTATAGGAATTTGAGTGACACAAGTGGAGCTTTTGTTTGGGTTGTTGCCTATAATTTCATGTCTCAGTCCATAGTGATTTTGATTGTCGATCATGCAAATCTTGAAAGTTTCAATTCAACCTGATTGCGTCAACAAGTATGAGCCATAAGCTTCCGTATTCAGATTTCTCTAATAAAATGATTAAATCTTTTCTTGGGGTTTGATTCTTAGGTTTATTGGTTGTGAGTTAATGCAAGAATGGAAATAGAAGCATTAGTGGTGTTCAAGCTAGACAAGAAGATATATATGATCTCTGCATATTCGTCTCAAATTATGATCCATTATAGTTCTCATAACTAGAGAACTAAAAGGGGACTTAAACCGGAAAAATACTAGTGCCATCGGTAAAAGCAAACCTCGTTTAAAATTCATATTCTGAACAAGCAAACAAAAGTAGCACCATCAAAGAAAAAAGAAGTGATAACACATAGTGAGGAACTCTCTCTCTCCCCCCTACTCGAAGGTGTCATCATCGTCGTCAGGGAGTGGCTGACTTGCTGCCGCTGCAAGCTCCGCCTCATGCCTAGAAATAGATTAAATCTTTTAGGCCGGGGAATAAACCGAGCAGATACACTTTACGATGAAATCAGATAAAATTGGGTTTATAAGAAAGCTTACTGTTGCTGAGCAGCCATGTCAATCTGGACTTCTGGGGGAGCAAGGGCAGGTGACTCCACAAAGTGAAGGTTAGGGTCACTGAAACATGCAAAATCATTCTTTGAGTTTTAACACTCACAAGAAATCACCATCAAGGGTTAAAAACTCTTTTCTTACCCCGCGAGTTTTCTAGCAAGGTACAAGAATGGCTTCTCGAAATTGTAGTTGCTCTTGGCAGAGATCTCGTAGTACTGGAGATTCTTCTTCCTGTGGAACGTCACCTGCTTGGCCTTCACTTGCCTGTTCTTCACATCAACTTTGTTCCCACAAAGAACAATCGGTATGTTCTCACAGACCCTGCGCATTAATATTGAAGACATCTCATTTCCGTTTAAAAGATTTGCAACATACAACAACAACGTCAAGCTTCTGAGTGTTCATACCTGCAAAGATCACGGTGCCATGTTGGGACATTCTTGTATGTCAGACGTGCTGTGACATCAAACATGATTACCGCACATTGCCCATGGATGCTGCAACAAAACAAAACACACTTTTTTGTGTCAAACAAACTATCTGCAGCACTAATTATATGATAAGCTTTCATGCTGCTAGCTACTGTAATAAGAATAAGAATCACATTCAGCTTCACATCACAACCTTAACACATGAAATAATATTAGAGATTACCAAAAACATTAGATATTGTTATATGGCACAAGAATATCTATACAAAAATAAACCAGTGTCCAGTTTAACATCAAGTGATTTGTATGAGAAAGAAGACTAAACAGAAGAGAAGACTTACTAGTAACCATCCCTAAGACCACCAAACTTCTCTTGTCCAGCAGTATCCCAGCAATAAAACCGGATCTTGCCACAGTTAGTGAAGAAGTCTAAAGGGTGAACCTCAACACCAATAGTAGCTGCAATTCAAAAAAAACAACACATCAGAATCAGAAGAGCTTCCACGCCTCCGAGTAGAATCACAATTTGTTAAATAAATAAGAGTTTTCTTGGTCACTTACGTTCATACTTCTTCTCAAACTCTCCAGTAAGATGTCTCTTCACGAACGTGGTTTTCCCTGTGCACATAATCACAAGGAGGTTAGCAATATAGCCAGACGCACAAACTTACAAACTTATATCGAGATCAAGCTCTCTGAGACTAACTATGTCGAGTTGTAATCGAGAATTGAGATCTAAACTACTAAACAAGATTAAGCTGTGGAAGCGGAGATTCATCAAACTCAACAAATCGCGTTTTTGTATATTTTTGTTTCTGAGCAGAGAGAGGTTGAAAAGCAAGGATTGTACCTGTGCCTCCATCACCAACGATGACGAGCTTGAAGCTAGGGTAATCCACGGTTTGCTGGTTAGGTAAAGCCTGAGAATACGTATAAAACGATTATTAAAAATCAGGCAAGATCGAAGGGAATAGGATCGATCTGTGGAGGAACGCGATAAGCAAAAGCAAGGCGAGACGGAGAGGTACATACCATGGATGATGAAACTGACGCGGCGGAGATCGAGATGACAAGCGAGTCGAAGAGTATATATGAGAACAAGACGGCGAAAGAGTTTGCGAGAGAGAGAGGGTTTTTAAACAGAGTTCTAGAGACTTGTGGCCGCTTAAGATTGACGCAAATCCTCTAACCCGGTAATCCAGACCCGGATCCAGGCCCAAAAAAAATCTTTTTGATCCATAGCCTTCGGCCCCTTGCCATTTGTTTTTTGTTGAGCTGTGTCCGGGTGATGATGATTCGATGCCTCGTAAGAACCAAACCGGATCTATTTTACTTTATGTGATGCTGCCACATCTTTTTTTTTTTTAACACTGAATGTTATTAAGCCAATAAGCCTTGTAGGCAAAGGTATCAAACCAAAAACATATGAATCTAAAAAATGAAGACGACAAAAAAAGTGAAAAACACACCAGTAGGCATGATATAGAAAGCGAAAAGCAAAAGGGCTAAAGATTCGATGAAAGAGCAGTTAAGGAACAATTCAATTATTAGAACCTCTGCTTCCTTTGCGATGAGAGAAACAAGCCAACTCGGCCCATTGTTTGCAATGTAGGATTGGTATCTTCCTTCTCATCTACAATCACACTTGCTGCAATGCTCATGAGTCATGGCAAACCTTGTTTCTGCTCGAATATACATACTCCATGGACAATGCAGTAAAGCTTTGGATGTTATCCAGAATTTGGCTCACCACACTCCCTACTTCCGAAGAATGGCAAGAGTCTACAAGACTAATTCTCGCCAGCAGGAAACATGACTCAAAGATGATGTCGTCCTTATGCATTGTCCGCATACATTCAACTGCCCATAAGGTAGCAAAAAGCTCTGCCATCTCAAGGTTTGGTACGGCATAATAAGACCGCCGGCGACAATGCATCAAGACTTTACATCTACTATCTCTTACGACCCACGAGAGATGCTCGATGACCATGAAGCACCTAGTTACATTTTATTCGCTCAAGAGGAGGCGCTATCCATGAGGCCTCCCTGCGTTGGCTCTCTTGATTAGCTTTCCATGTCTGAGCTTCAGGATTGTTTGACTCAAACACCATTCATTAGCTTCCTCTTCCGCTTTTTCTCTGGATAGAAGCTGGATCTCATCTTACCTTTTCAAAGACAAGTGCTTTTCAAGCCTTCCATATATTCCAAAGAATCCATTCTGCCACATATCGGAAGAGTATTATCAACAATCCTTAGGACTGTTATATTGCCGCATTAAAATGTAATGCTTTGAAGGCTTGAAGATGCTAACACTACTCAAGTACAATAATTTGGTTAGCTTGAGAACGTGCTTTCTATGCACTAAGAAGATCCCACATCTTCAACACTAAAGACTGATCAATCTTACATCTTTCAAAATTACTGACATCTTCATACTTTAACAGGATGTCATATTTTCTAAGCAAACAAACTCAAATAGAACACTATGACCCTTAAATCAAACTACATAGTTTAAGCCATTATTAAAATAATTATAGTATCCCTCCCCCACTTTTCACTTAGCTCAACATCAATAACACAATAATATCTCCATCTACGTAAACCCCGTGATTAAGAACGACATGAACCAAAGGATCTTAAAGCCAATGGTCGGGACAATTAATATAATCCCACTTGTGCAACCAGTAGAATCAACACATGATTTGATATCACAAGCAAGCAAGCAAACAAACATGGTACGAGTTTAGAGGTAACATCGCAAACATAAAATCCCTAAATATAAAAGTCACATATCGATTCTTCCAGAAATTACAACCCAAAACAAGAGGAAATCTGAAAACCGCATAGAATCGATATGGAGGAAAACCCAAAGCGGATCAGCTGATATCAGTGTCGTCGAAATCATCTTCGAACTTGTTGAAGAAATCGGCGTCGGCGAGCTTGTTCTCAGAGATCAGCCCTCCTTCGCTAAGCATCTCCATGGCTTCGATGTCATCAACGTCCATGGCCATCGAAGAGCCTCCATCATCCATCTCTGCCAACATATCCAGTTGCATCGGTCTCATTCTCTTCTTCTATTCTCTCTCTTGTCTCTCTTCTCTTCTCTCCTGTAAAGGATCTTTATCGCACAGTGACGAACGACGATTCTATATAGAGTAGCTTTGTTTAGGCCCAATTACGTGGCCTATCACTTGAAGGCCTTCACTAAAACTAAAAAGCCTCCTTTTCTGTTCAAAAGCTTCTAATAATCAAATTCTAATTACTAAATTACAAATTGGAATTAAGGGGATTTGTCAAATATGATTCAAATTTTAGTTTTAAATGAAAAAATGTATTTCAACTCAAATCAAATAAAAAAATAATTTAAAAAGGCTAGTGAAATTAAAAATATTCTCTTATGACCAAACAAAAAAAAAAAACAAGATTGTAGTTTATCATAATAACCTTGCGAAAAATCATAATCATCTAATTATAGACATTTGTAAATAATATAAATTTAGATTTAATAAAATTGATTTTTTTTTTCAACATAGATGAGTGAATGAAAGTTAGTCATGATATTCTTTAGTTTAGGGTTTGGTAACTATGTTATAGTATTGTATGTGTTTTTAGGGTTATACTACAAAAAACTCCGCATTTGCTAGGAAATTTTATTAGGAAAATCTTTCGTCGTAAATTTACTACGAGATTACTTCAGTTTTACGAGGAAAAAAAAAGAATCCTCGTAAAATTCTCGTAAACAAACGAGAAAACTGTTTCTTCGTAATGTCGTAGTAAAATTACGAGGAAACTACGTGGCAAAAGAACATTACCTCGTAATTTCGTAGTAAAAAATTTTCTCGTAAAGTCCTAGTAAAACATTACTACGAAATTGGGAAGAAATGTTCTTTTACTTCTAATTAGCGATAGGGGTGGGCGTTCGGGTACCCATTCGGGTTCGGTTCGGATCTATTTGGGTTTCGGGTTTTCGGGTTCACAAATTTTAGCCCCATTCGGATATTTCTAAATTTCGGTTCGGGTTCGGTTTGGATCTTTGCGGGTTCGGTTCGAGTTCGGATAACCCATTTAAATTCTTTTTTGAAATTTTAAAATTGATTATATACATTAAATTTCTAAAAAATTATAAACAAATTAATATATTAAAAATAACTGAATAACATAAGTCAAAATATCTAAAATTAACATATAAATTAGTTTGATTTGAATATTTGGATTGTGAATCAATAATTGTTTTAAGTATTTTTGATGTTTTGAGTGTACTTTAGAAATTTTAGACATGTATGTTTGACTATTTACATATATTTACAACTATTTTGAATAACTTCAAAGTATTTTATATATATACTGAATTTTTTATATATATATTAAATCTAAAATAATTAATATATATAGGTATATAAATCTCTTTTGGATATATTTGGGTACCTGAAATACTTCGGTTCGGGTCGGGTTCGGTTTCGGTTCTTTAAATACCAAAATTTTGAACCCATTCGGATATTGAATCAATTTCGGTTCGGGTTCGATACTACTTTTTGGATCGGGTTCGGTTCGGTTTTTCGGATCCGGGTTTTTTGCCCAGCCCTAATTAGCGAGGAACTACCTAGAAAATATCTATTTAAAATCTAAAACGTGTTTTGTACCTACCTTTCCTCGCAATTTCCTAGTAAATGTTCAGATTCGGAAATTTCTATAAATACCATCATTTTTGTTTCATTTCAAACACACCAAAAAAATCAGCTTTAAGCTTGATCAAAAGAAAAAAAATGTTCGGTTCTGGAAATATTTTCGAGTTGCGGAAGTGGATGTATTCACACAGAGATAATAACGGGAGAGTGACGAAAGAATTTCTCGAAGGTTGGAGACGTTTATGCATCAAGCAGACGTCAGTATATATCATGAGATAATATTAAGTTAAATATGTTGGGAACAAAAAAAATTCAAATTCTACGAAACCAAAGCCAAAGTATTTAATCTATGCAGCCAAAAAACAACTCTAACTAGTTTCTACTTTAAAGGATAAAAATGTCCATAAAGTGCTTCTGACATAAGGAAAGTGTCCCTCAAGTAAAATGTGTCTTGAGGTGTAACAAAAGACACAAAAGTGTCTTATAAGGTAACCATCTCTTTTATAGGTTAGGTCAAATTCAAATTTAACATTGATCTTGATTTTGTAAGCGCAGAATATTTCATGATGAAAAAAATTTATAAATAACTTACAAAATATTTTGGTAATTTGAAATAATTTATGTATTTAAAATATTTTTGCATTTAAATTAGTATTTTTAAGTTTAACCCGAACCACTATTAAACTGGTGATCCGATAATTCAATTATTTTTTTAAAAAATATCCATATTTAAAAAATCACTAAAACTTAAGACTAACCGATTGATAACTGATATGTAATATTTAAACCTGTGAAAATAAGTATATTTTCGTTATTTTATATATTATTTGATTTTTTTAATTTATCTAAATTATTTGAAAGAAAAATGTGAGAAATTATTAAAAATGGTGAGATCTAATATTTTGTATTGTTTGAACATAAGATTAACTATAGTGTTGTTTGGAAATATGGATAATAGTATAAAGAAATGAGTATATTGTTTGGACATAAGATTAATTATAGTGTTGTTTGGAAACATGGATAGTAGTATAAAGAAATGAGTATATTGTTTGGAACATGGATAGTAGTATAAAGAAATAAATATATTGTTTGGATCTACGTTGCATGGAAGCGTCTCCTACAGCATGGTTCCTGCCTCCTGGTTCCGAAGCGGAAGCGCCTGGTCGGAAGCGTGCCGGAAGCGCGGTTCCAAAAAAAACAGGTTTTGGAAGCGTGGTGGAACCTATCACTACAAGAAAACTAAGCATTTACTAGGAAACTTTACTAGGAAAATTATTCCTCGTAAAATTACTACGTGTTTACTTCCAGTTTACGAGGAAACCAGCTTTCCTCGTAAAATTACGAGAAATACGTTTCTTCGTAAGGTCGTAGTAAGCTTACGTGGCCCTTACGAGGAAAAAGTCACTTTCCTCGTAAAGCCCTAGTAAAACATTTCCTCGTAAAGTCCTAGTAAAGCCTTACTAGGAACTTAGGACGAACTGGTTTTCTTACTACGAAATTAAGAGGAACTAGATAGTAAATATCCAATTTAAATTTTGTACCTATTTTTCCTAGCA